CATGCGCTTCTGGAAGTCATCGACCGACTCGCTGGTGACGTAGTGAGCGAGACGCTGGATACGCTGCATGGTTCGCTCACGAATCTGCTCCGTTGTAAGATCGTAGATGTCTGCCGAGTAGAAGACGGGGTCACGACTCGCTTCGAGCATGAATTTTTCCTTCTTGACGAGATCGTTTTCAGAACCGTGGTGCTCGATCGACATCTGGCGGAAGAAAGTGGGAGGCAAAGGGTAGGAATGAATGTCAGTACACGCTACTGTAATTTGTCAAACTACAAGCTCCTTCTGGCGACATTGTGACTTACCTTTCGAACATCAAAGGGAGGGTTGGCCCTCTCCCTTGCCATGGTATCCATGGTCAGGTTGTCGGACCAGGTCGACATGATGGCGAACTTGTCCCTTTGGGTACGAGAGGACCGACTGCTGATTCTTGATGGAAGCGAAGCGTTTGCAGAAAAGTATGTGTAGATCGCCGTGTCAAGACAAGGCTGGGATATAAGGTCGAGCTCTACTAAATTCAGAAGAGATGATGGGGAAAAGGAAAGAAGGAGGAGGAGGGTCGTGATAAACTACAAGGGTCAAGTCAGGGCGAGGGCCCAAGTTGAAAGCGGCTTACAGCTGACCGGATCAGCAACCAGTTTTAGGATGAAAAAGGCGGGCAAGCTCGGAAGCGACTGTCGAAAACAGCATGCGGGGTAAGCGGTCGTACAAGGAAAACCGAGTGTGTTGAAAGCCTTGCCTTTTTTTGGTCGAGTGGTGCGTGAGAGCGTGCGTAATCATGCAGCATCGCCTAATCCGGTCTTCGGGCATAACAGCTGCAAGACTGGGAGGGAAAAGAGAGCGCCCATGCAAAAAGTGCGAAAGAGTTGCAGCGTGAAAGCCAAACAGAACAGAGAGGCTCACGCTGCCATCAGAAGCGGCTTGAGATGAATTATCGGCCGTGTATTCGCGGCTTTCACATTTTTGTGTCACAAGTCTGCTTATATATGCTAAAGATTACGATCCAGTGAGACGCTAAAGGATGACGCAGAGCCGATCTGATCGGAGATCAGGAACAGCCGATCTGGTCAGAGGACCGATCTGATCAGAGATCGAGCAGAACCGATCTTGCCAGAGATCGGGTACAACCAAGTCCCGCTCGTTGTCAGGCTGGATCATTAAGTATAGCAACTCCCACATTCGGCATATGCCACCCATATGTATATATATCAAGCTGGGAGCGCTAGGCTCTCGCCATGTTCACTTAGTCAATTGAGTATATATGTTTCTGTCTTTTAGCAGCAGTGACATCGTACTTAGACTCTCCCCGATCGCCAGTATTGGGACCCAAACGTCTTCAAACTTCAACAATATATCCTTATTATAGCTAGGATGTGTTAGAGCTCTAAATTGTACCACTTTATGGAAATCAACCTCTACATGCCACCGCCCGCGGAGTTTTGTTGCTTTACTGACCCGAAGAAGATCTATTGAGGTGATTATTGATAGAAGCCAGATCCATGCATTCCATGCCATGCATTCCCTGCCATACATTCCCTGCCATGCATCAATGCAATACTCAGCCTCTACCGATGTTCAGTCTGGGCGAAAGCAATGAGAAAGATCCGGCGGCAGCGTTGCTGAACTAGTCTGTCTTTTGCACAGACCAAGCTGTTTTCGTAGCTTCCAGCCGTCCGCTCTCCGTTCGACTCATTGCCTCCCCCATACGCTTAATCGTCGCATACAGTTTTCTACAGCGTTCGGTTAAAGATGCCGGCACACCCTCGCCTAGGCTATAGCAATCCAGGTGAGACACTCATCCTAACCAGAGACTTCGCACACGCTTGCTGACGATGCATTGTCAATCGTCTGTTCATCCGCTTGATAGTGATTGGCCATGACTTTGCCGACCCGGGAGTCTTTTTCGATCGTCAGACCCAGACATGGTATGCCTTTGGTACCAACGGCAATGGAAAGAACATTCAATGCTCCTACACCAAAGACTTTTGCTCATGGACTCAACATGAACAAGACTGCCTTCCTGGACCCTTCCCCCCGTACCAGTCCGGTGCACCAGTACGTATGCTGTCTGACCTCCAAGCGGAACTCGAGCTCTGACACCTTCTGCAACTGAACCTTGTCGCGCCAAGTAGGGCTTCCTCTGGGCTCCGGAGCTGATTGAAGCACCTCAGAATCGGGGCGGCTACCTGATGTATGTTTCTTGTCAAGACTCCATCTACAAGAAGCAATGCATTGGCGTCGCCTATTCAGATCATGATCCAAAAGGTCCTTATCGCTGGATCACAGACCGTCCACTGATCTCCAGGGTAAGCACGAGAACGATTGTTCCCCCGCATCAGCTCGTCGAGCGAAACACAATCCCACCACTTTCCTCTTAATTTTGTCTTTCATTTCTTTAGGGAGAGACTGGCGGAACACTGGACCCGCAACCCTTCGAGGATCCGGTCAGCGGCAAGCGCTATCTCGTGTACAAGGTCAGTGACCATTCCTTCTTCCTCTCGTCGCGGCAGATGCATCTCTCTGACTCGCAAGGCAATTTCTCATCTGCTTTACGACCCAACAGTCCGATTGGGACCGCATGTATACCGATCACCCACAACTATGGCTATCAGAACTTTCCCCCGACGGCCTCTCTCTTGTAGGCGACATGCACCCCCTTCAAGGTCCCACACACAGATATCAATGTGGTCTGTTAGAAGCGCCCTACCTCTTCCACCACGCCCCCAGCAACGCCTACATCCCGTTCTTTTCCTCTGGCACGTTCACCAACGGCACCTACGCCACCTCCTACTCAATCTCGCACAACGGGCTCTTCGGTCCATACAAATGTCCTCCAAAGCCTCTTCTAGAGACCGATCGACTACGCAGCGTCATGGGTCCCGGTGGAGCCTGCGTTCTACGCGGAGTAGAAAATGAACACTTTATCGTCTTCCACACGCGAGAGAGAGAGGAAGGCAATCGTAGGACATGTGTCCAACGCATCTGCTTCAGCGATGACGGCACACCGTACCTCTCCTCACGACCTAACTGCGACAAAAGACTTCGTCTAGGAGCAGAGCAAGAAGATGATATGCAACACTTTGACAACCAGCTGCCGCAATCTACCCATGAAGCCGGTCCTGGACACGTCAAGACAGGGTCGGCAGTGTCGAAGCTGCTTCGTAAGGTCAAGGCCAAGCTCGACTCGGATTCCGATTAGTTAGAAAAGGACTCGGGGATGGAATGGGGGCGTATCTGTCCGGATTGATCTCTGGCCTACACTACCTGAAATGGGTTGAATGTAATAGTCGTAGAAGTTGCTACATTGTTGGTTGCTTTTACAAAAGCTCCTCGTGCTCTAGATGTTCGCGCGGGTTGGATTCCGATATCCAGCCTTCCCTTTCTGCTGGGTCCGCACTGGCTTCGCCGATTTTAGGAGAACCACCTCTGCCAAGCCGAAGCTAGACGTCCCCACGAATAGAGGTATGCCCAGATGCCTGTTGCCGACAAGATCGGAAGTGAGAGGTTGTCGTCTACTCCCCCAAGCTCGAGTCCTTCCGCCACACCTGCCACGACTCCTGAACCTATTGTGAGTAGCCACCAAGGCATACCGGGCACGTCCTTGGAAAGGGGCAACGCATCGGTGCCGAGCTTGCCCTTTGCGATGCTGTCAGCGCCGAGATACTGTGCGGACAAGCCCAATGCTCCCGGCAGAAGGCCGGCGCCGCTCTGACCTTTGAAGCCTTTGGAGAACCCTTCCCAGCCAGTACCTGTCGCCCCACTAACGCGATCTGTTCCGAAGATGGCTGGATGGGCATACCCTGAGCCAGACCAGGAGATGCCGTTGGTGCGAATGCCTGCAGAAGCGATCGAGGTGCACCAGAAGAGATACGAAGTAAGCGCACCGCTGACGATGGCAGCAAGGAAGCCAGCTGTAGACTTGCGGCGAGCGAAAGGCGGTGAGGGCAGAGGCGGTGTGCATCGTCCGAACGCTCTGCCGAATGTTGAAGCGCAAGTATCGCACCATGACAGGATCATGACAGACACGCATGCGATATCCTCTGGGAAGAAGTGGAGCGAGGAGATGACACCGACCAAATACCACACCACTCCATTGACCTTGTCCTTCTCCGACTCGCGCATGAGGAAGCCCAGCACCTTTTCGTAGATCTGTTCAAAGTGGTCGTTATTGAGGCGGATGACATCTGCTGTGACGACGACGCCGAGGAAGTAGGAGAGATTGCGAACGATAACGTTGAGGTCTGTGCCGGAAAGGTAGAGGTGTAGAACCATGAATCCGATCGAGCTGTGGAAGATCTTGCGCGGAATCTCCCAACTCTTCTTGCTGGCTGGTACTACAGAGCCATGTGATCGTCGTTTGGATAGGGTTCCACTAGAAACGCGCTTGACGGCTTTTGGTCGACGTGATCGTAGAGTAGAAGCATTGCCGTTGCCATCTATGGTTTTGGCAGTCATGTCGGTATCGTTGGCAGCACCGTCCTGAACAGGTGCTGTGATGCTGGCTGGATCTGTTTTCAAAACCCCACTCGTCTCGAGCATCTCACGATCGAAGTCGGACTCGGCTCGTGATAGAGCCCTGAGCACGGCAGCACCCTTTTGAAGCGAAGATGATCGTTGGCGCGTCAATGTCTTATGTGTGGTCGGTGGAGGTGAACTTGCATTTCTGATGGAAGGAGGAGAAGATCGTGGTGACTCGGAAAGCACTTTTGCGGAAGGTCTAGATGACATGTTGTCGTACAGAGTTGAGCCTTGCTTGGAGAAGATGGCGATGAGGTGTAATGCAAAGGTGCAAGGTGCAGCCGATGCGATTCGGAAGGGCAAGAGATGATCGTCTCCAACCCTGAATTTAATGGACACAAGCACGCGCCCACTGCGATTCTTCGTCACAAACATTTCCTCTCAAAATCCAGATTTCGACTTTCCCGCTCCACCAAACATAACAACGAGACGCGTCGAGACGTCACTACATCACAGAAATCCAACCCTTGGAGGCCAAAAAGTAGCTCGAGTCGGTCTCGATCCGACGACCTTTGGGTTCCTTCTAATGGTTGAATATGAGCCCAACGCCCTACCACTAGACTATCGAGCTTCTAATAATTGCAGTCATTGGGTTAGCTGTAAGAATACCTAATGACACCAGGATACCGAACACTTGGAAAAGAAACGCATCGTCAAAAGCCACATCCGAATTCACACAACGACCTCTTCTTTCGAGAGATCACATTTCTTGACTCAGCTGTTCGCCCTCCTTGACTGACTACGACCCAGCTCAGCGGATGTTCCGAGCGTGAGTGAGAGACGTGATACAGGCGCCAGCCGACTGTTGGCGGCTAGGCCGAAAGTAGCCAAATCCCCCGTGAGAAAAGTATTTGGCTGTCCCGTGTCCAAGTGTGTGCCTCATCGGAAGAAGCCGATGGCTAGAAAATATGGCTATATGCGCCTGAAATCGTTCGTAGAGGCCTCAGAGACTTTGTAGAGGCTGATTCAGCTTTATTGTCGCAATACAACTCGAGCTGATAATGGTCAGAACTGGGACAGGCAGAGTGGTCCCATGGGCGTGCGATGGTACCAGAAACGCTGGAGAGTTGAAGTGTCAGTCGAGGGCAAGAATCGAAGGGCACAGACAACCTTCGAGAATCTTGACAGCGCACTCGAGCTCTACGATTTCGCCGTTCTCTCTCAATACGGCCCTGGAGCGAAGCTGAACCTCCCCGAGAACCTCTCAAAGTACCTTGGTAAGCTCGAGCAAGAGGCGGCCAAGAAGCAGCTGGAGGATTTCTTCGAGGACAGGCTCCGTTCGCCTGTCCCTGGTAAGCGCAAAGGCCGCGCTTGAGCATAATCGGTAGTTCCAGTCGTCAATCGCAATGTTTCGTAGTTTCGTTTGGCAATCGCATTGATTCGCAGTCTTTCTCGAAAGAAGTGTGTGTGCATTACGAGCGAAAACAGTACAGATCAAAAAAGGTAGCCCTTGGCAAGAGCAATCTCGGCGTTCATGACGGAGCTGGTAGCGGCACCGATCATGACGTTGTTGGAGAGAACAACGAATTTGATATCAAAGACGGGGCATTGGCGGACCCTACCGACATTGACACCAGCGCCATTCTGCCAGTCGCGATCTAGACGAGGTTGTGGACGGTCCTGCTCCTGATGCAATGTGATGGCTTGAGCAGGTGCTGAGTGAACGCCAATCTTTTGTGCTTCTGTGGTGAACTCTTCAAAGCACTTCTTGACTTCTTCTACCGATGGTGTGGGACGCTTCTTGAACGAGACTGATACGCATTCCATGTGTCCATCAATGACGGGAACTCGGTTGCAGTGAGCGGATACCTTCAAAGGGTTTTGCTCATGGTAGTCGAAAGCCGTCTTGTCCAACTTGATACCACCCAAGATCTTGGGTGTTTCCCACTCGATCTTCTCCTCCTCGCCGCTGATAAAGGGAACAATGTTGTCCAGAATATCGAGAGAGGAAACACCGGGGTAGCCTGCCCCCGAGATAGCCTGCATTGTGTTGACCAGTACCCTCTCCAAGGGGCCGAACTTCTCCTCCAGCGCTTTCAATGGTACGACAACACCGGTGGTGGAACAGTTGGCGTTGGTGACGATAAAGCCCGTCTTGGTGCCGACTTGCTGTTTCTGGTACGGCAGGATCTCCATGTGGTCCGGGTTGACCAATGGCACTACCAGTGGACAGAGTGGGTCGATGCGGTAGTTCTTGGCGTTGGAAAAGACTCTCAACTCGGCCTTGCGGAAGGCATCTTCGACGGGTCCAGCAGGTCCAGAGTCCAAGCCAGAGAAGACGACCTGGCATTCAGCAAAGTGTTGAGGCTGGCATTCGTAGACTGTCATCTGCGCAACGTTGTCGGGAACTCGGCGGATCTGCTTCCATCTTCCTTCGACGGCTTTGATGTATGTCTTGCCTGCTGATGATGAAGAGGCGCCGAGAGCAGCAAGTTCGAATTGAGGGTGATCGGCAAGCTGGAGGATGAATCGCTGTCCGACGGTACCTGTGGCGCCGAGTACGCCAACTTTGAGCTTTTGTGGTGATGAAGATGATGACATTGTGGATGGGTGCGCAATACCAGATTGCAGGGAGAGGATGGGATGGTGAGTAGAGAGTTGATGATCGAATTGGCGAAGTGAAGCTCTAATCAGATCAGGTCGGGCTCTTGCCGAGGAATCTAATTCATGGCCAAGGCAGCAGGCCAGTCTCGAGCATTGATTTCAAGGTTGCATTTCTTCCAAATGGTGCGTCGAGTCACTTTTCGCCTTACTGATTTTTTGCTACTTGGTCGCGATATAACAGCTTCAGATTTTCGATTTTTGATTTTTTGATGTTTTTTCAGCGGCGTCAGTTGAAGATGCGTCGGCATCTCAAGCAAGATGCACGTGTCACGGCCAAGACACCGAGGTGCAGGAGGCTTACTTAAGCGAGAAGCACAAATGAGGTACATGATTGTTGTCATGGCGACGGCTTAGTGGCACTCAGTATCATAGCAACACAGGAGTATGAATGAAGTGACACGTCCTGTCTCAGATAGGACTAGAGCGGCGAATAGAGTATATATATATGTGTTTGTCATTTAGGTCCACACTATGAAAACCAAGCATTACATAGAACATACGGCTGTGGTAAAGGGAGTCTGATCGTGACCCCAATAACGCCGTATATTAATTGTTATCTTCAATTGCTTCACGGTCCGGATATTGAGCCTCATTTTGATCGCGGAAACTGGACACACCTGTTCGAGACTGGATGAAGATACAAGTACAATTGCAGACGTGACACAGATGAACCAGCAATGATCGAGCGTAGAGGAGGGGACGCGATGCTTGCGCTGTCTTGAGGGCTGGAAGGGCATACTGTGCTTTGCGATGGTTACGCCTTCATGTTGGCAAGGATCTCCTGATACGGCTGTACCAGCGCGGTCAAATTGCGAGGTCTTGCCAGAATCTGCAGGACCTGACTGCAGAGTTGACGCTTATCAAAGCCGAGCACAGTCGACTCCCAGGACGAATCCTGATCCTTTTCTGGTTTGTAGTAGATGGGACCAATCAACGACTTGATCAGATCTTCAGCCTGGTTTTTGATGCCCTCTTCTGCGATGCGTTTGGCATAAGCCATCAAGTAGTTCTTGTACTCGTTGGCACTATCGAGGATGATGGCAGCTAGCATTCGTGCTTCTAGGTGTCTCAGTGTGATCGCAATGACAAAGTCCGATTTCTTGTCTTCGGGTACCGTCATCTCGACTGAAGGACTTTCTTCGTCTTCCGACTCCTCCTGTGTTCCCACCTGATTATCTCCGTGCACACGACGGACATACATCGTGTTGATCTCGGCTTCGATCGCTCGCACAGGATCACGAATGGCTGCCTCGCTACCGCGACTGCGTGTGCGTCCATCCCATGCTTCCGAGTGTTCTGCCCACCAGCTGTCGCTGATGCAGACCCAACCAAGCTTGTTGTCGTCGAGCGTGTACGCCTTCTCGCTGTGCAGGATCACAATGGGCGCTCCGTTGCTGTGTATCGTAATTGACAAGAGATTCTCAGGCTCACCAAGCAGGTTGAGCACCGAGATCGGTCGATGAATCTCACGATCGGTACGAATGTTCCATCTGTACATGAGACCGGAGACAGTGACTGCCATAAGCACGACGCCATTGCTTTCCAATCGGTAGCAAGCCGAGTCCAACAGCAGATTTCCAATCCTTCGACCTCGCGCCGAGTAGATGAGTATCGTTGAATCCTCCAAAGCTACGGCAGAGAAGAAGGATGCGGCTGTGGCTAGCGTGGCAGCTGTTGGGCTAAAGTCGAGCCAGAGCGCGCGGTCCTTGTCGGAAGGGTCGAGTCGCGCGATCTCGGTCGGTCGTGATTCATCAAAGTTGCGGATCTCTATCGACATGTTATCCTCATCCCGGCGATAGATGCTCGAAGTCTCGGGAACAACCAGGTGCACGCCTTTGCGAACACCATTCTCGACGATTCCACTTGCACCCACCAAAGCCTCTCGCAGCACCTTCTTCGGACCTGGCGGATCACGTGGAGTCTCACCTCCCAGTGTTCGTCCAACGTCCGCCCTCGTCTTGCCCTTCTGAAGCTTGCCGATGGGCTCGATATCTTCCGCGTCGGTCTCGACTTCTTCCACCTTGCGCTTCTTGCCCCGCATGAAGCGTTGTTGGAACTCGGTCCAGAATTGCATCATGTCTTCGGGGCTGGCACCTTCGGGCATGATGCCGAAAGGTAGACCTACAGGCACGTAGGGCATCAATGAAGTGGCAGCGGCAGACGGCATCGCCATGACAGGCATCGAGCCGGGCGCGTTTGATGTTGTAGCGCCATAAAAGCTTCCATTGGTGCTGCTCGCGTGCACGCCGTTCGCACTGCGACCAGAACCGAATCCGTCGGTAGTGGTACCGCCAACAGCTTCACGCATGGCTGGTAGCTGATGGGACTGGAAGGTCTGCATAGAAGGGTGCTGCGTAGTTGCCGGCTCGGACGCGTAGTGAGGGACAGGTGCGGGTGCGGGTGCGAGGTCGTCGCCGATGAGGGTGGGTCTAATGCGACGTTTGCCGTCTTTGGTGATGGTGATGGTTTGCTGCAATCGCTCGTTTTTGGATGCTGCGGGTCGAACAGGGGGCACGCTACCAGCAAGGGGCACGGGTGCCACTGAGGAACGTGGTGCTAGAGTCTGTCCAGCTTTGCGTGGTCGAAGAACATTGGGACGATCTGAAGTTCCGGCCATGAGGGTGCCATTGGAAGAGGTTGCGACATTTCGAATCCTCTTGACACCGTGCTTTGCTCGCGATTGTTCAAGTCTCTTGCCGCTCAAGGCTTCCGAGATGATGTCAGGTGTAAGGTTGAAGACGGCGACGGTGCCGTCCGATGAACAGGCATAGAGCGTGTAGCCATCAGCTGACCAGGAAAGATCCATGACCTGTCGCTGGAAGACGTCCCTGGCGACCAAGACCGGCTGCTCAAGACCAGTGACCCAGATGGACACGGACTGGTCAAGCGAGCCCAACGCGACCACGCAAGAGTGTGTACCTCCATCAAAGCCGACAAAGATCTTGGGACTGAAGGCAGTGACAACGA